CCCCCCCCACCCCCACCCCGCTGGAGGGCCCGCTCTCCTTAGAGAGGCGTCGCGAGCTCAGCTTAATAAAATCTTCAGAACTTTAATTTGACATCCAGCCTCTTTATTGATTATCTGGACCCAACAGTTTCAGAAGCCCCCACATGATGCTCCACCAGGCCTTGGAGTGAGCTGAAGGAGAGGCAGAGCGTGCGCAGGAGGGGCCTGGCCTTGTGTCCTCTGACAGTGCAGCGCTCCCTGGCCCTGTCCCAGCCCCTGGCACATCATGGCCATGGGGTTGGAACTGATTGCTAAGTAAACAAAGACATGAGGTCGCAGGGAGATTCTTGTTCACAAAGGGGACATGGGGTTTCTGCGTGGTTGAAATTCTGAGGTGAGGCTGGGCCTTCCCAGACACACCCTTGACAAGCATTTCCACAGAGAAAATGGTCTTTTCCTTACTGTAAACGTTACTTGTGCTTACTGTAAAAACTCAAACCATTCAAAAGGACAGGAAGGGAAATATGGACCGTTGTTTCTGATCCTCTAGCTGCCCAGGGCTAACTAACAGGCCCCTGAGACCCAGTCCCTCTGAGCTCCTCCTGAGATACACAAGGACATCCACCCCATTCTCATTCACACCACACCCACCCTCACACCACACACACCCACACACCCACACACACCTACACCTTTCCACCACACCCTCACCGACACACCCTCACACCACACACTACACCCTCACCGCTTTCACCCACACACCCACTCTCACCCGCACACCATCCACATCCACACAACACAGATGCCTACACCTTCACACCACACTCTCACCCTCACCCCCCCCACACATCCTTGCCCTCACCCAGTTACACCACATACATCCCAACGTACCACAAACCCTCTCACCCTCACACACCCTTACCTTCACCCACACATAGTCATACCACACACCCCCTCACTGTCACACATCCACAACAACACCCACACACCCCTCACACACCTCCAACACTCTAATCTCCTTTACAAAAGAGGATCGCATACACACAAGAACACACTCATACAAAGAGGTAGGCATTCAGCCCTTTCTCCCTGATGCCAGCAGACAGACGCAGGATTGCAGCCCACATAACTCCTTCACCGATGTTCTGGTTCTTCCTTAACTGCCTGGAGCCTTAGTTCCCACTTTGGGAAAGTCGGGGTGAGAATAACATTGCCAAACTCACAGGGTGCCTGAGAGGCTCAGGTGGGATTTACAATTAACATGAAACCATTCTGCCAACTGTTAAGTGTGAAAGATCTGAGGAACTATTACTGCCCTCCTCCCCACCCCCCAAACAGGACTTCAGGAAGATGACAAAGCCATCTTAGTGGCACAGACTACTTGTGACGAGACTGGTAGAGGATCAGGAGGCTCACTTTGGGTTCAGGATGGGCACAAATGTCTGCCAGCCAGTCACTGCAGGGGCCTGCAGGTGCCAAACACCCCACAGGACACGTCCTGGGTCTGTGACGGTGAAATTCTGTCAGCAGAGGAGCGGAGCAGCCCCCGCTCTTGCTGAGCTTTGGGAATTATGGAAGCTCCTGTCCACCTACTGGGAAGAAGGCGGAAGGTGACCCCTGTCCATTCCCGGCCCCCACCCAACCCGGTAGTGGCTCCCAGTTGTGTCCGCCCCCAGGGCCCACTCCACCTGGCTTCAGGACTGTGGGAGGGGGCAGAGGCTGAGGTCAGGCNCTTGTACACTCAAGAGCTCACAGCCTGCGTGGAAAGGACTCTCATAGGACCCCAGTGGAGGTTGCAGCATGATGGGGGTTGGGGGAGAGGGTGTCGAATTATCAGAGGCTTTTACAGAGACTAGGATCCCTTTACTTCTATTTTATGGTCCTATGGGCAAGACACTGAACCAGCCTCTAAGGCAAACATGATTTTGAAAATAGTTGAAGTGATGCCCAGTTGCCAAGATCTCAGAATCCAGTTCTAGAGCAGTGACTTGCTGAAAGTCAGGGCTGCGGTGCTCTCGGCAGCAGGAGGACATGGAAGATTCTGTCTAGTGTGTGAATCAGGGTGGGGGTGCTCCAGCTGGGGAAGGATTAGTAGGACACAGGAAAGGGAAGGAAAGCCCCCCCCAAGCCAGGCGGGCACTGTAGCAGTGTTCCCTGTAGACAAAAAGGGGGTTCTATGTAAAGTAACCTCACAGAGTGATGGGATGTCAATTCCTAACTGGGCAAGTCAGGATGGGTAGTCACATTCCAGGCCTATGACTTCATGAGTAAAAGGTTTATCTTTGTCTTAAGCAGCCCTGCCCATAGGTTCTGTGCATCTAGGTTGATATACATTTGAAATGCCAGAAGTAATCCTCTTTTCCAGACCCCTGGAAGGGGTAACCACCCTCAAGGGAGCACAATATCTTGTTAACTCTTCTGTCCCTTGCTTTCTCCCACCTCCATGTAATCTTCCATATGGTCCCTCCTTAATTCCAAATGTGTAAAAGAAGCTATAAAACTCATCTCAGAGCACCTGAGATCTTGCTTCCCAGCAATGTT